CTCTCTCTCTCTCTCTCTCTCTCTCTCTCTCTTTCTCTCTCTCTCTCTCCCTGTCACTGTTGTTAAAAGCTCAGCACTGACAGTTGGGCTGTAACAGACACACCTCACTCACCAGGCCCTAGTGGCATTACAGGGAGATGCCTCATTACTGGCTGGTTTGTTCAGATCTGGGGTGAGAGGGTATGGTTTGTTTATTATTTATTTACTTCCATCTTATTGCAAAGGAGGTCAGAGGCTTCCTGTGATTGGTAACTGCCCCTCCCAGACACCTGATGCTCTTCAGTCTGGAAGGAGCCTGAGCTCTCTGAAAGGAGGAGGTCCCAGCCGGAAGCGCATGGCCCAGGCTCTGCGGCTGGTGGGGACTGAGGTGCCCCGGTGAGTGGTGGGACAGGGCCAGGGCTCACCTCTGGGCCTTCTGTCCAGGCCACAGGGACTGCTCTAGGGACTTGGAGACCAAGGTTTCACCTGTTCCCCAAGACAGCAGGTCACACCTGGGCTGATTTACAGGCTCCCAGGGACGAATGAAACAAGTTGGGGACAGTGCCAGGCACCCCGTGGCCCCTTCCTTAACCTTCTGAGACCTAGTCTAAGCTGGTGTGCCCTCTACACCCAGGTCCTGTTAACCTGACCAGGCCCAGTAGGGCAGGACACTTCTACTTTGCCCAAGAGGAAGCCCGCCCGGGTGGCTCTGGGTGCCTCCCTGAGGAATCAGCATAACTAAAAAGAGGGGGCTCGTTCCTGGGACCCCTCCAGTCCCAATTCCCCAAAGGGCTCATCCTGCCTTTCTTGAAAATGCAGCAAGGCAGCACTAAATAACAGGGCACCGAGCGGTGTTGTGACTGACCACAGCAGGAAACCGTGGGAGAACTGAGAAGGGCCGCTTCTCTGACTGCAGAGGCGCAAACTCAGACGAGTTAACACTCCGTCCCGAATAAACCACTGGGACAAACCTCGGCCAGCCGGTATTGTCGAGGGCTGGGGCACTGGTTCACCCAGGACGTGTAGACAGGACCTAGGGAGCACTGCCCAGCAGGACACAGATGGAGAGGGATGCCACGCGGGCCCCTCGCACTGACATCTGAGTGCTGGCCCAGCCGCTACGTTAGAACTGTCTTTACAGGGACTCCGAAATGTCCCTTCTTTGCTTTAAGGTATCTGGCACAGAGAAGGGGAACCACCCAGCGAGGGCCTGGAGTTATTTTCCACCGCATGAGCGTATCCACAGAAATCTGGCACAGAGAAGGGGAACCACCCAGCGAGGGCTTATTTTCCACCGCATGAGCATATCCACAGAAGACTCACCTTGGAAGCGCTTGGCAGCTGCCTCTCGGAGAGAGAAAAAAATGTCACACATGACAGTTGGACAGCTCACCCCCGACTTGGTGATGACATTGAAGATGCGGTCAACGTATTGCCGCAGGTTCTCCTGCAATGAGATGTGGGACATACTCATGGTGCTCATTTGGACCAGATACTCTCCCAAGACTGCATGGAGCATCACGACCACACTGGGGAGGGAGAGAGTCCAGAGGCAAGGGACTGGCTCAGAGCAGCTATGAGGAGCCACAGCGGCAGAAAATATACTTCCTATTATGATTTAAAAACAGCCTTTCAAAATACATACTGAGTAGTTA